TTTGTGGTAGCTTAGGATCAATCGATCGTTAATTACCATAAAAGTTATAACTTGACACAAAAAAAAATTGTAATTCAAACCTTAAAATTTATAACTTGACCCAAAAAATTATTAAATTTTTTGTTGTAAACAAATCACAAAAATTATATCAAAACCTGAAAAAATTATAAAGTTTGAAGGTACGATACTGAAATTTTTTTTTTAGTACTGTAATCTTATGTCGAGATAAGAGTCTTTGGCGAATACTTCTCATTAACTTGTGCTCAACTCGCATCAAATGATGAAAGAATTTAAAATGTCTTAACATATCTCTGAAATAGAGATAAAACTACCAAGTACTTATCTTTCCCGGCATGAAAAGGGTTTCATGCCTTCCATAAAGAGAGGATTTGACTACGATACCGAAAAATAGAATTACGTATTGTACCAAAATATAGAATTTTGTATTATAATAAAATTTATTATATTTTTAAGTATTTTTATTATTATTGTAGCAGTCAAAAAAATGATAAAAATAGTTACCACAATAATAATAAAAAAACTCACAAATGTAATAAATTACCCACACAAATAATAATTTTTTTGTACCAAATAAAATTTATAAAAATAATTACAATAGTGATCAAAACATCCACAAATATGATAAATCACCCACAACAGTGGTAAAAAATTTACAAGAGTGATAAATTTTTTTATTGTAAAATGACCCATAAAAGTAATTAATTTTTTAATTATAAAATAACTCACAAAAAATATAAAAATACTTATTAAAATAATAAATTTTTGAGAGTAGGTAGCCAATTTTCTGTTTTTGGGATACCCTAGTCCAGTCCTGAGGCAAAAAAATCCAGTGGGGAGATTGCCTTTATAATGAAGCCATCATGATTTGGGCATGTACAAAGTGTAACTGACACTCATTGTTTGAGGTGAACGAGTGATTTGCTAGATCCTTAAAAAGTTTGGTTTGAGTCAAAGAAATCTTGAATCAGCAAAGCAAAGGATCAAGTGATAAAAGAGAAAATGTTTGGTTACTACTACAGGAAATTCTTTGATAAGGATTCTTATTTTTTAATGATATTCTACAACATTACCTCGGCCACAAAACCTATTCCACAGTTATGCTGCTATGTTTGAGTCATGAGAAGAACTTATCTATACGTAGAATAATGTTATATGCATTTGACTCTCTACAAATTGTTTAGTAATAGAAACCTCTTACCATCGAATGGAGTTGTTCAGTAGAGTACTAGTTGAATTTCTCATTTTAAAGTTGAAAGTTCGAATTTTGAAGTTTATATTGAGACTCGATAGTTGACTGCTATGTTAGTCTAGCTAAGTTCGTTCCCGAGAAGAGTAATAGATGCGATCAGAGACCTCATGATCCTACTAATAAAAGCTTATTTTCTTGGCGCTCTCTTTGGCCCCGTCCCCTTTTTGAATTTTGAAAGTAATAGAAGCCTCCTGCACTTGTTTTGGGATTTCAAGGAACCTTGTGGCTCAATTGGGTGTCGCATTCTTTTCAACTTAAAAACAAAAAAGAAAAATTCCTGTGATTAAGAATGATCACAAATATCCAGAGTTTACTCTATGTGGATGTATCTAATGTAACCTTTCGTTCAAGAGCGTCATTAAAAGAAAAAAAAAAAGACTCCAATGAATGAATTGGTTCTTTGAACCTGAACCCCGACCAACCCCCCACCCCCACCCCCCAAATCTCACTTTATGCGTGTCTGGTGGGAACAAAAATGGACCACAGCGAAGTGGAAAAACTTTTTGAGTCATGCCTGACCCAGTGAGGAAGACAATCACAAAGTGAAGAAAAAAGATTAGGACATCCAAGATTTTAAAAAAAAAAAAAAATTCTAAATAACCAAAAGGGGCAAAAATACCTTTATCTGAAGGAAAAAAAAGGGGGTGAATGTCACACTACTTAAACTTTTGGGTCTATAGATTGTAGGCAGATCAAAATTTCGTTTTCAAACAATCAAAATGTCTAAAACGTTTTTGTTTTTAAAAAGATCGAAACAAATCAGTTATGAAATCAAAAATTTAATATTTCAAAGTTCTTTATAATGTTTCGAGATGTTTTGTAATATTGTAATATTTTTGCACAATTGTTTCATAATGTTTAAGGTATTTTTAAGATATTTTGATATATTTCAACTAATATTTTAGAAAAATAATTCTTAAATTTTATTATTTATTTTATTATGTTTCTGAAACAGGTCGAAACGTTTCTGGAACACATCAAAACTTTTACATTTCTTAAATTGACCAAAATAATACACTAAAAACAAAATTTTGATCTTTAACTGTGATTCGTAAGTTGTGTTATTCTTGTTACTCTTACATTATAAAATAGGAGAAGACTATGGTGCCAAAAAAAATTTGGCATTCTATCAACAAGTTGTATAAATTTTGGGGGTTAAGATAAAGATTTTTGGATTCTGAGACTTTTTTGAAATTTTACTGACAAGCTTTCTCGCAAGCCCTTTCTTCACGGGAGCATCTCGAAATCGAGCGAGCAACAATAATAAGAATCAACCTATAAAATATATGTTCACATGTAGCCAACATTCTAGAAGCAAAGTTTCCCCCACCTCTTTGTGTGAAAATGCTTTTCATGATCTCCGGCTCTTTTTCACAAACTCTTTCTTTACTAGGTACCTAGGCGAACTTGTCGAGTTAACTCAACGTAAAGAAAGCTCGTTAAATCAAAACTAGGGGAGTGCATACTAACAGCGAAAGGTTAACATCTCTTTCTTTTTAGTAGTAACGAACATCAATTAACTCCGTGATGTAAAACAATAGCTTGGTAATGAAAGGTAATGTACTAAAAAAGTATAACTCTATTAGCCTTTTCTCTAGAAAAAATTTAAAGAAAAGTGAGAAAGAATGGTTGCCTACTAGGATCCATCATAACAATTTTATGATCGATCCCAAGATAATCTCAAAAATTACAAATGACCCCTAAAATTTGTAAATGACACTAAAAAATTTTAAATAACCCTTAAAAATTGTAAATAACTCCCAAAAATTATAAAATGACCCCCAAATTTTATTTTAAAAAACCACAAATTTTGTACATAACGGTGCAATATCAAAAAAAAATAAAATTGGTACCATAATCTTCTCTCCTATAAGATAAAAACCTGACAACAACAATCAAGAGGGATATGTTCTCAAATATTACTTACTTTTTTTTTTGTTTGGTCAGAAGCTGGGTCCGACTTAAATAACATAAAATATCATACCTCTTTTTTTCATCTAATGAGAACATGACATCAATAAAAAAAATACTTATACTTTATTATTTCAATTCACTTATTATTTGCACGATCAATTACTACAAATAAATCAAAAAAAATCTATTTGACATCATTTTTTTGTCAAATCTCAAACGATAAACAAAATGACTTTTGTTATTCACGGTTGAGATCCCTTTAAAGCTAATCTAACGACTAATATTAACACCCTAAATTTAATAAGAAAAATAGGTCAATAAGGGTGTGTTTAGAGTGATATTTTAAAAGTATTTTTAGAAATTATTTGTCATTACCACCCTCCACAACCATCACTGTATCCTACCACCACAACTGCCGCCCACCACCTCTCATTCTCATTACAAATCGATACTTAAATTTTTTTATCTCTTTTATGTTTGTGATTTGATTTTGGATATGAATACAAATATGTTTATTGTTTACCATTTTTTATTTTTTTGTACCTTCAGGCACAGACAATAACTAGTTCAATAATAAAGTATAATACAATTCAAATTTTAAAAGATAAACAAAATAATTTTTACTTTTCAGGATTAAGATCTCTTTAAATTTAACTTTAAATTTAATCCAATGACTAATATTAACATTCCAAATTTAAGAAGAAAAATAGCTTATAAAGGTGTACTTGAAATAACTTTTTAAAAATAATTTTAAGATTTATAACTTTTTATAAATACATTAAAAAATAAAAGTAATATTTGAAATTGCTCCACCCCCACCACTACCACTACCACTGCCACCACATCACCACCTTAGCTTCAACAACCACCACCACCATCACCACTACCACCATTCCTATTGCCCCATCACTATCATCATCATCGTTGTCGCCACCGTCCCACCACCCCCACCACCGTTGTCACCCCACTACCACCTCTTCTTCAACAACCATCATCACTTAGTTATTGCCACCACTACCATCTCCCACCACCCCCACTGCTACCTACCATCATTATCACCGCTCGCCCCAATTACAATCGATACTTAAATTATTATTTTTTATTTATCTTTATAATTTGATTTTAGATGTAAATATAAATATATTTATTATTGATCATTTTTATTATTACCCTGTACTTTCGGACACAAAAAATAATTTAGTATATATACATACTGAATGTTAGGCCAATTTGCACTTTATAAGGCAAACAGTTTCTCGGCCCACTCTAACCTTGTTGCTCACTTCCACAATTACATGAAGGTTCAAAAAAAGGGAAAGAGAAAAGGGTGCGGTCCAGGGTCCACTTTTAGTTTGACCATGTTTAATTTTTTTGGCCAAGTGCTAGTCAACACTTCAAATCCCTATAAGATCAATCTCCCTGGTTTTTGGAAATTTTTCCCAACAAGGAAAAGATATCACCATCCATGTTAGTATCAGAAAGAAAATTCGCCTAAATACTATTTCGTTTAAGAGTGAAATATCCTTCAATACATGTTCTCTTCAAATTTTCGTACATTTAAGTAAAAGTTATTCTATACAAATTAAATCCATATTTATTAATGATGGATGAGTCGTCAAAAAAGAAATTGAAAAGCAAATATATTAGAGGAGATCTGATCCTTGGTTTGGGTCGATGGAGTAGTTGAAGTGACATCTACAAGGAGAGAGAGAGAGAGAGAGAGTTTCTGGACTGTTGGGATGTACCTCTAAAACAGTCGATTATGCAGGTCAAACTGTAAGTTGATACAAAACCTAAGCTACTTCTCAATGGGTCTCTTTTTTGTGTGTTTAATCTCTCAGTCATACTACACATCAAATGGTTCCAATACCCAAACTTCGAGATTACTCTTAACTCGACAAAATCTTATCCCACTATTCGAATCAATTTCATGGAACTTCTTGTCATTCTACAAGGTTTATAGAGCAAGTTACATAGTAATATGTCTGAGATAGTTACTGATTATCAGCACAGTAGATCATCTAGGAGGCTTTGTATTACAAATAATATCAGGAGAAAAATCCAGCTAAGAAACATGCAATCGACTGTTAATTCAGCTCATCTTCACTCCACAAGGTCCTCAATGTGCACTCACTGTATTGAATGGAGAGATCAGGGAAAATAATAAGAAATTCTCTCTTTTTATAACAAATAAAAATAAGTATACAAAGATTTGTCAAAATCTCTCGCCTACTCATTCATTGTTCAATTTCAAGTCCCTTGTTAATTAAGGTTTCCTTATTATCGATCAAGCTAAAGTACATGCATAGATAGTAGTCTAATGACAAAGCTGATGATGGAAGCTCGGGGCGGAGCGGTATGATGCAGAGAAGGCGAAATGGTTTTGGTAAACTACTTTTTGGACACTTCAATTGGTATGACTGTGCTTGGACATAATCTACCCATATGCTTGCTTGCCTCTTCATGTCCTTCAAAAGTTAGCATCTAATCTAGTGTTTGATTGTAAATTATGCCCCCCTGTCAATCACCTGACATATATAGACCAGCCCCCATACCAAATTGGATGATCACATCCAAAAATTTAGTGGTCTTCTCAGGGAAATCTAATTCCGCCGAAAGTGCCAAGCCTTGGTGGCAAAGATTACATAAATCAAATCAGGTGTCATAATACTCGTCCATGTGACACAAAAAGGCTGGTGAACTAAGGCAGTGGGCTACAGCCATGTATTGCAGGACTATGGTCTGAAAAATGGTGCATATCCACAGGTTTGGTGTGTGGAATTGCCACAAGAAAGCAACAGAATGATTCACATAACCATGGAATATCAAAGGCCCACCCACATAGCAAAGCTCACAGATTAAAAAAAAATTACAGAAAAGAATGACAGCACAAACAGTTGATCATGCAAAGAAATTTTTTTAACATACTTTTCTTTTTCAATCCAAGGATTGGTACTAATTACGACTATTTTGCAGTGGCCAATGTCTATGAGCTTCACATAACTCGCATGAATTTAATGGAACTAATAAATCAACTGTCTATTATCTCAGGGACACTGGCTCTCTCATTAATACTAAATGTAAATGCGTAGCATAATTTATTAAAATCTAACACAGATAAGTATCCTTCCCACTCAATATGATACAGAAAAATTTTCATAGAATTGAGGAGATCTCAAAGACTCCACAAACACCTTACTCAACTTAGCCATGGAATCTGTCATTGCATTTAGTTAACTTTCTAGATTATTCAATTTTACAACTAACTAGGGTACCTGGCAAAATTTGGGCCCTCGGTATGTGCGCCTTTATGGTAATACAACAGACTCGATCATCCATATGTCTCTTGCGTATTGGTGAATCGTTCTGTCACTGCTGAACTTATATGAACCAGCTGTGTTCAATATTGACATTTTTGTACATCTCTGCGAAGACAAAATAATGTGTAAATTATTCATACATGTCAATCGTGGCATTATATGTTTTGCGGCAGTGTTTTTTAGGCTCCAAATACATGCATTCAGTATAGCTTTGAATGAGTGACCTATGTGGTAACATGCATTTGTTTGAGTAGAAGAAAAATTATGAATAGTCTTCATTGTCACATCCTCTGTAAGACTGATGATAAGCGAATTTCATTGAAACAAGCATCTGCTTGGAATAGCAACTCGTAGAATCTGCTTGGAATAGCAATTGGTAGCAGTTATGTTGCTACAGGCTACAGCCATTAAATGAACACATTACTAAGGCTTACTAAGAAGATTTCAGCACCAGTATGTCAAACTAGGATTTTCATCTTGAGATCTATGCATGACTATATGCAGGTATGACTGGGCATGCTTTACCAATCTGGGAATGCCTCTGTTCCCACAGCATAGTTACACATTCGAGAGGAAGGTAGCATAAAAGTACGTGCATGTGTGTTTTGGTAGCAAAGAATACTCACTTTCTAGTCTCGATAGGCCTCATCAAACTTTTCTTGGCAATCTAAATAACTTGGAAAGTCCTTCCCGACAAGGAAATAATCAGCACGACCATATCCTTCATTCCCTTCCAAGGATCCCATTAGCTCTTCATAGTTGTAGGGGCCAAAAACACCACTTCTGACAAATGCCTTAACTTCTTCAAATCGCGGGTCTGGCACAAACTGCATGAGATCAAATAATTTGAAGGAGTGAGAGAGGGAATTCTTTTTTTCTTCTAGAGTAGAATAGTAATCCTGCCTTAGTCACTCAATAGAACAAGTTTTAAAGTCTGAATTCCAGATTTCATTTCACTTCAATTTTACAGCGGAGTTATGAGAGCATAGCTGTTGGGGGAATTAAACCAACTTACAGACTGAGAAAGTTAAAGACTAAAATTTGTATTGTGGCTCAATAAACTCACCTTCCCCTCAGCTCTTTCTTTCCGCAGGCCAGCAATTTCATTAGCCTGAGCACCAAAAAGAAAAAAGTTGTTTTCTCCAACCTCTTGCCTTATTTCAACATTGGCACCGTCCAGGGTTCCAATTAGGATGCAGCCATTCATTGCAAACTTCATGTTGCTGGTTCCACTAGCCTCCATTCCAGCAGTGCTAAAAATTTTAAAAATTAAACAAGAGAACACCAGTTAGCACCAAATAATGACAATGTACCACCATGCAAAGATTTAGGGAAATGCCTAAACAATTTTTTTTGTTTGTCAATGCAATCGGTTCTTTTTCCATAACTAGGGATAAAAATTATAGTTTTGGGAATCCACATCGTATAGTTTAGTATGCCTTTCATGATTACTTGGCTCTCAGGACAGCACTGCAGATCCTTGATTGAGCAAATTTTTGCCAGAATTAAGTCTTGCCAACAGACTTTTAATTTTTTTTCCCCTACGTGTCGGTTAATAAATTCTATTTCTATGCAATCTTTGTACAACTTAAAGCAATGTGGTTATCTTCTTGCAACAAGAGATGCCTAAACTCAAGTGGGCGTTACTAAAGTTGGCATGGATTTAGAGAAAACTAAAGCTGAGGCTTGGGCTTACCCTTTATCACAACCATATTGTTTGTTTAAATACATGTAGATAGTTCATTTTCGAAGCAAACTAAAAAGAGACATAAAATCAAAATCAAAAAACAAACATGAATACAAACATAAAATCAAAATGCAAACATGAATAGGTACGGGCTGTTCTCGTGAACGTGACATGAACAGTAACGGGGCAAATCAGGTCATATGGATCCTACTTATAAACCTGAATACAACCTATCTAACAAATACTGGAATTAATATCCAAGAACTTGTATCGTTTTCCAATTGGATTTAACTGTCCTATCAAGATTTTCCATCCTAAACTAATGGCATACAAAGCAAGAAAGCAAAAGCAGGAACTCCAAAATAAAACAAATCAAAATACCTGATATGTTGGGACAGCTCAGTGCCAGGAATAAGAATTTCCGCAACACTGACATTGTAGTCAGGGACAAAGACAACCTATGAAAGATAGAGCAAATGTTATGAGTGGTTCTGAACACATTCTATCATGTTAGTTATGGACATTGTATTAAAAGATCTTATCTTCAGCAATGAAAACCTAATTTTGTTGGCTACTATATGGTGGCCTTCATCTTTCCAAGTAAACCATTGAATATCATCCTAAACAACTCTGCCCAATACGAAAATGCATTGCAAAATGTAAAACAGAAAGGGCCTTAGTCATCTATCACCCTCAAACATGGGATGAATGGAGATCTCTGAGATATGAATCATATCACTTTGTGGCCAAGTATATTAAGTATATTAGTTAACCATAATGGCCACACCAAATGCATAAAGAATAACTAAAGACAAGGTTGGGCCCTATGCCACCCACTTTTACCCAGAACTAATTGTTTCTCCGCTTCTAGGAACCACAGGTACTATACTGTATGACAAAATTGCGGTTTGTTGCGGTCAATTCATTATCATTCTTCATGCAAGAAAAACAGGATACCGGCAGAAGTTTGATGGGGAAGATATAGATGTCAAACGTTTGACTTTCTAGTGCTGCTAACATTGTAAAAGACATGCATAAGAAAGAAAAAACATCATTCCATAAAGATAAAAATACGAATTACAAAAAGTGAAGGCATATTTCAAAGGTTGAGAAGCTGATAGTGCTCTATTAAGTGTGTGAAAACTTTTGAAAATACGCAACAGGCAAAAGCATAAGACATTCTTAAATGTACCTTCAAAAGATCACCTATATCCGGATCATTGTTCACAGTAGCCCCAACATCCGTGATGAATTTCACAATCCTCTTGGCCTGGACATATGTGGCAAATGCTTTTCCTCCAAATATACAAACCCGAGGGACAAATTTTGCTTTTCTCTCCTCAGGACTCATTTCTTTCATCATTTTATAGCAATACACAATTCCCATGATATTCAACAGTTGCCTCTTGTATTCATGGATTCGCTTTACCTGAGGGTATATTCATTTAGGCTATAGTCTTACGAGGTTAGACTAAGAAAGGAAAACAAGAGAAAGATTTGAGCAAAGATGTTCACCTCACGAGGGTATTACAACAATGCTTTTAGTTCTCATCCAACACTAGCATCATGTCTATGGCACAAGAAAACTAACATATATTTTGAGAAAAAAAGCGGCATCCTCATTTTGTGTTAAAAGGGCCCCACCAAGATTGGAAGGCAAACACTTAAATAGCATGGCTTGCTAACACATTTTTGTCATAATACAGAACTTTAATTCAAACAGCATTCCTGATTCTCCCATCCGAGATTTTATTCTTTATGATGAGGATGAGGCTTAAAAAATGAAAAGAATGTTTAATCAGTAGGAGAAAACCTGCACATCAAACATTGCATCAGGGTTGACAAGATATCCAGTTTTTTCTTTGAGGAATGACACAACCTTCCTCTTGTTGTTTCTTTTTGCTTCCCTCCATTCCAACTGAAGTTTTTCAATGTCAGCAAACTGCAAACAACTCAAATAAATCATGCTACAATCCTGTGTTCAAAATATGAAGGAAAAAAAACTAAATGAAAAAGAAGACGTGGGTCTATACAGGATACTCTGTCACTCTCTTTCTTACATTTTTTTTTTTTTGTTTATAGAGAACATAAGAAGACTCTAAAAATATAAAAGAGTGCATGTATTCCCCAGACACATTTAGCTTAAACTCAATCCAATCGGATAAACCAAGGACGGACGCAAGGGAGGAGGGCAGTTAGCAGCATATTTTATAACAATAATTCAGATATAGATTTGATTTAGCTGTGTCATATCGCAGCCAACCCTTATAACTTCCAGAAATTACTAAAGTGGATTTCCTTCAATAATTCACAATATGATATGAAATCACCATACCCCTGCTCCAGGCTCTAAATGAGCATGTACTATAGTCCATAGTTGTTAGTATCGTACGATACGTTACGATACAGGCCTAAAACGATACGGATCGTAGTTATGTATCGTTTTTGCGTTGTATCGTCCGATACACGATACATTTTTATGATACGTGCAATTTTTTTTTTTTTAAAAACGACGTCATTTTTGCTCTGATTTTATTTTTTTAATCCCTATAACCACTGAAACGACGTCGTTCCAGTGATTAGGGTTACAAAAAAAAAATCCCTCATTTCTCTCATATTCGGCCTTCGCTCATCGCTAGTCAGAGACTCAGAGGTCTCTGGTTTCTTTTCAGCCATTGATGACAAGTGATCGACTGTGGGTGGTCTTTGACTGTGTGGGTAGTCTTCGACTGTGGGTGGTGATCGATTGTGGGTGGTCTTCGACTGTGGGTGGTCTTCAATTGTGGATGATTGCTGGTCTTCGTCTGTGGGTGATTACTGGTCTCCGACTGTAGGTGATCGTTGATCGCTGCCTTCTTCCTTCCCCAAGTACTCCTTTTTTTTTTCTTCTTCTTCTTCCCAGTCTCCATTGATCGTTGGTCCTGTGCAGTAAGAAATGATATTAATTTATTTACAAAGCCATTGTATATATATTTTTTTTGTATAAAAATTTCTGAATCTTGATTAATTTTAATTTTGTGCAACAGTGACATCACCTGCATCCAATTTTCATATAGAAATGACTAAAAAACTTGCTAATGATCCCACATGGGAACATTGTGACAAAGTAAAAGGATCAAGGTTGAAATTAAAATGCATTCATTGTGCAAATGTCTATTGGAGAGGTATTTCAAGAATGAAAAATTATTTGGTAGGTAATCGCAAAGATGTAGCAGCATGTAAGTATTGCCCTGAGAAAGTAACTGAATTTTTTAAGCAATTATTGGATGATAGGACAATTAGCAAAGATATGAGTCTTGTGGATTCGAAAAGTAGTGGCAGTGTGGGTAGTACTACTGTTGATAAAATACAACCAACCACCACAATTACTTTGAATACCATGTTGAAGAAAAAGGGTAGGGAAGATGTATGTTTGGATAATTGTAGATGTTTTTATGCTAATGCCCTTCCTTTTAATTTGGTAAATGATCCATATTTTGTAAGAATGTTAGAATCTGTTGCATCGTTTGGCAAGGGATTGAAACCTCCATCGTATCATGAGGTGAGATGTTCTTTTTTGAAAAAAGAAACAAATTTGATTAATGGTGAGTCGATGAAAAATTATAAAGCAGAGTGGAGAAAGAAGGGTTGTACTCTTATGTCTGATGGATGGACTGATGGGAAGCATTGCTCTATCACTAATTTTTTAGTGAATAGTCCTAGAGGAAGTGTGTTTCTTAAAAGTATTGATACTTCAAGTATTTGTAAGAATGTGAATAATCTTTTTGAACTTTTAGATTCAATGGTAGAAGAGATTGGTGAGGATAATGTTGTTCAGGTTGTAACTGATAGTGCATCGGCTTATGTAAAAGCTGGGGAGTTGTTAATGGCAAAGAGGAAAAAGTTATTTTGGTCTCCCTGCGCTGCACATTGTGTAGATCTCATTTTGACGGATATTGGGGACCTTCCTCTACATAAGGATATAATGTCAAAGGCAAGAAAAATCACAGTTTATATTTATAGACATTCTTGGGTGTTAAATCTTATGAGGAAATATACAAAGAAAAGGGATTTGGTGAGAGCTTGTGTGACCAGATTTGCCACCTCATATTTAACTTTAAGGAGTTTATTTGAAAATAAAATTGGGCTTAGAGCAATATTTGCTTCTGAGGAATGGCAGAGAAGTCAATATTGTAAGAAGGGAGATGGTGTAAAAGTGATGGATATTATACTAGCTGACCAAAATTTTTGGAGATGAATCAAGTATTGCTTGAAGTGTGTGTTGCCATTGGTTAAGGTGTTGAGGCTTGTAGATGGGGATCTAAAACCTGCTATGGGATATATTTACGAGGCAATGGACAAAGCAAAGGAACAGATCCAAAAGAATTTTCGTAATGTGAAGAAGCACTATGAGCCCATATGGACTATTGTTGATACTAAATGGAACATGCAATTACACAAACCTCTTCATGCAGCTGCTTATTATCTCAATCCCGCGTAAGATTTAATTTTCTCAATTTTTATATCATTTTATATCTATATATTATATACTAATCAATGATCATTGTAAATCAAAATAACTATTTCAGGTTTCATTACACCGGTAGTGTGGACTGTGAGATAAAGATGGGACTATATCAGACTATTCAGAGAATGTGTCCAGGTCCTATTATGAGAGAAATAGTTGATAAACAATTAGATATCTGTCATAATGCTGATTTGATGTTTGGAATGGACATGACAATTCAGATGAGGAAAAAGAAACAACCTGGTTAGTGGTAACCTAACTTAAGTTAGTTATTTGAATGCAATTACTTAAGTTAGTTAATGGAGTATTCTATTATAATTTTTTATAGCCTTGTGGTGGGAATCATTTGGAGGATGTTGTCCAGAGTTGCAACAACTTGCTATCTGCGTCCTTAGCTTGACTTGTAGTGCCACAGGATGTGAGAGGAATTGGAGTACATTTGACCAGGTGCACTCTAAGAGGAGAAATCAATTAGAGCAGCAAAGATTAAGTGCACTTGTGTTTGTGAAATACAATCTTCGATTGGAGGCAAGACACCAAAGAGAATACTAGAGGGTGATTCCTATGATCCTATTTCTCTCTCAAATATGAAATCTGATGATGAGTGGATCACTGAAAAAGATGCACTCCTTCCTGAGGACACTACTTGGATGAATGTTGGTGAATGTTTTGAAGTTCGAGAAGGGACTAGCAAAAAGAGAAAGAGAGGTAATTAAAATGTAGTGGTTATTTTTTCTTCTTCTCCATTACTTTGAATTTTTTTTTTTTATATTTTGTATTGGTTGCTTTGTAGGGCCTAGAAATCTTACTTCAAACAAGAAAAAACGAAAACAAATAGTTCAACTTGAAAATGAGGATGAAGATGAACAAATACAAGAAGTTAAAGATGATGAAGGAAGTAAAGACTTGTTGGCATCCGATCACAATGATGATGATGATGATGATGATGATGATGATGCATTTTCAATTGAAATTGAAGATTGAGTTCAAAATGGATGTTAGAAATTTGGATTAGAAGTCTCTTTGGTGTTTAAAGTTTGAATTAGTGAACTATGGTTGTGAACTTTGCATTATAATAGTAGTGGATTATGTTGATGACTTGAATAGTTAGTGGAGTATTAATGAAATGCTATGTATTTATGAGTGTATGACTTTTTTTCAAAGGTATATATATTTTATTATTATTTATTTAAAATTGCACCGTATCTTACGATACAATATTTGTATCTTACGATACGCCTTCCGATACATGATTTAATAACTATGCTATAGTCTATAGATGGAACCACACAAATCTATAATACTACCCTTGAGGCTCGATAACCTTAAATTTGGAATCCGACTAGCTTTGAAGTTGGGTTATGCGATTCAGCTCCCCCTAATCCAACAAAAAGCAAAATCCAGCGAGTGCATGAAGTGCTAGAAAATTTTCCCACAAAAAGATCTCTGAATTTGGCAACAGGGAATTCAGGTTTGGAATTGGAATTGCGGAATAAATTGTCTAAAATTTGAACTAGTTGCCTCTAACTCCATTTCCAAGCCTTAAATTAATATTCCCAAACACCTTGTTAATCTCTTGTAATTTTCAGATTGGAAATATAGGATTCGAAATCACAAATTTTCTTTCTTTGGAAAATACAAATCCGTTGAGGTTGATGCATCAATAAGCAACGTTATCCTAAAAATGAAAAGATTTCAGCCTCTAAAACTATATTCATTTTAGTGTTTCAAAGGGGAAAAGAAACATTACTCTAGTAATTGTAAAATCCAAGGGAGTCAACTACATTTCAGAGAAAAATTAACATTTGTTCAATAAAACTAGAAACAACTACTTGTTCAATTGGAAAATTGTTTTTGAATAAAACATGTTTTCCTTGTATAACGACTTGCACTGAAAACACTGTGCTCCTGATTATACAATAAACATCCACGTTTCTGTTTTCACCTTTTAATGTATGTGTCAATGTATGGTTACAATAGCATGCTATGCTAGAGGTTCACCCTTTACAATGTGAGGATTTACCAATTAGCAAGCTCTATCCAAGATTCTTTTTCAATTTTCACTGCTGAAGAAGTGACACTGACCGATTAGACTTAAAAATATGGAACTATGGCCCAAATCTCTCACTTGTAGAAAAATGGACCATGTTTTTTTACGGCAGATTATAATTCATTTTTCGAAATTATATAGTACAATTGAATATGATAACCTTGCCTTTTGAAGTTCTGCCAACTTTTCAGTTTTTATCACCCAGTCTTCTGCTCCTGTCCACTTGGTTATGACTTGACTTAGCTCAGGATTACAAAAGCGCATCCATCTTCTTGGTGTCACCCCATTGGTCTTATTCTGAAATTTCTCTGGCCACAACTGCCAAGTTCCAACGTGCAATAGGAGAGCAGATCAGTGGTAAGAACACTTTACCTTCTCGAGAACTAAAGTGATGTTCAATTCCAATTTTAAGAGGGAGAAAACAAAAGCAAAAGTATCCTATTGACCTACTTACCTTATAAAACTCGTTAAAAACTTCCTTCTTTACTATTTCACTGTGAATCTCAGCAACCCCATTTACTGGTATGCCCACCAACAACACAGAGATTAGCCATGCGGACCATCTTTGGCAGTTTTGGGTCTGGTTTAAATGTCACCTTGTTCTCAGTATCCTCTGCCTCATGTCCTTCAGATTGATCTTCTTCGTCAGAAGGTTCTATTACTTCAGCAGAAGATTCAGGACTTTCATTTTCTTCAACCGGATCAAAAACAGGGCTTTCATCTGATGGAACAAGCAGCTCTAAGATGGAGGCAGGTAACTCTATGTTGTCCAAAATTCTCATTTGTTTCAGTTTTTGTTGCAAAAATTCAAGATCCTCCACGCCATACTCCTCAATTATGGTATTTATGAGCTACATAAAACCCCAACTAAATGAGGCTAAGAAAATTATGTCACAATAACCGAAGAGGCAAAGTCCACTTGTGGTTTACCCAAAGTTAGAAAAGAAAAGTGTGTATGAAGGATGGGGGTTAAAGCATAGCCAGTTAACCAAATCCAAGCAACAGAATACTTTTTGAATTTATACCTCCTCATCAATCATTTTATTGATCTCAACATGCCGGGGAAGCAGTTCCTGCAGAAGGTTTAAACTCCATTTCTCCAGAGCCTCGGGTAGAACAGCATGGTTAGTGTAGGCCACAGTTCTGGAAGAAAGATAACAGTGCATGAGAACCCAGTACTGAAACTTGAATCTAAACTACAATTATCAACTAGTAAGGAAAGCATCATATCAGCGCACTCAAACATTTTTATGCAAGTACACAAGTTCTGTGGTGGTGAAATTGTGGAGCATGTTAATTATCCACCTCTATGCATGCACATGTACATATTCAAACGTTCATGCTCATGCCAACAACCAAAATGCTACAGCGATGAAAGAAGGTACCTTCGTGCAATTCCCCATGCTTCCTTCCAGTCCAAACCCTTCACATCTATCAATATTCTTATCAGCTCTGGTATGCATAGAGTGGGATGCGTATCGTTCATCTACACTGCAACCTTTTCAGGGAATGCATTCCAGTTGACCGGCTCCCCTGATCTCCTCTCAAATCGTGCAATAATATCTTGAAGAGATGCAGAGCATAAAGTATATTGCTGCTTCAATCGAAGAGTCTTCCCCTCATTTGATTCATCCCCAGGGTATAAAACGTAGCAAATCTGATCAGAATTAAATAGTGCAGTAACCATCATATATCGGCACTAACATCGCAAAACATTCCAGGTATGAATGTGATGTGACTAGTGAAGAAAGATTTAAATGATACAGGATTCTTAAAGAAAAATTTAAAAGATTTCAGTGAGCACTGAAGAAAGATTTCTACAAATGAAGTTGCTGTCACAGTGTCACTAACCCACATAAACAAACAAGAGGAACAACACATAACATGAGTGTGCATTCTGCAAGGCATTTAAATGATACACAAATATATATTCCAATAAAAGGCATGCAAACCTTTTCGGCCTTTTTTAGGGTCTCATATGCTTGGGCATGCTCCCCAGCGTTAAAAGCACATAAATCAAAAAATTCTGGAGCAACCTTTGTTGACCATAGCCGTAGGTTAATCGTTGTTTTAGTTTTATATCCTGGTATGGGGACATCATATGCAACAGCCATTATGTCTTCTCCTCCAACCCATTCTTTCTTTCCATTTGACCCTTTAATGACTTCACCATAGAATTTCACAGGATAGGAGACATCATTTCTAACAATTTCCCAGGGGTAGCCCATCTGCAAGGGTATACATTTGTCAATCAAGAGGAGAAAACTAACCAATAATAGAAGTATACGCATCAGTATTGAGAACAAAAGAAACAAGAACTTTTTACTAAGGCATTGATGACCAGAAAAGCATATCAATATCGAGACAAAGACTCAAACAAATATAATCAAACCTCCAGCCAGTTTTCTGCAACCTCCTCCTGACCATCTTTTGTGATAAGCTGTTTGAAAAGCCCATATTTGTATCGAAGGCCATAACCCCATGCAGGGTAATTCAGTGTTGCCAAGGAGTCCAAAAAGAAGGAGGCAAGCCGCCCTAGCCCCCCATTCCCAAGTGCAGCATCTGGTTCCTGCCAATTATCAACTGGACAGCTTCAGAATCCCCACAGAAGGATATATAAATGTTTAATAAGTACAACCCCCCGCTCCATACCCAATACAGGACCCTTCGATTTTCACAGCTGGTCAGAGTTTGAAAATGGACAGTGTCCAAGAGTATGCAGAAGAATGGAGATGGACAATGTATAAGAGTATGCAACAGGATGAAGCATCTCATGACTCCAGTCTGTTTGATTGATGAGGCATCATTTAATAGTCCACAGTGTTCATACTATAAGGATGACATACTTTCAGCCATATTTGGACTTCTTTATACACGTCATATGATAATTGTGAACTGGTTGGACATACTGTCTAATTCAAGTTGACATGGTTCACAAGCATTAGTTTTGGCACACAGTTTAGTAACAATGATAGTCGAATGAATGGATGTGTGGAGAATACAGGTGTAATCACAGCAAATTAACAGCATCCCATCATTAAGCAAAACTTTTTCCTAGTGCAACTATCATCAAATTATCTCATCTGACTAGCTACATCCTCTAGATTGTGCCCAAGCTTTCTTAGAGCCTGTGCATATGCGCCTGAGAGCTCCAAATTGCCAATTGCATTCAGCAATGCTCTGCCCTGCCCCAATCAAAACATACCAAATCATTAGACATTGGCAAGTGGATGCTACAAATGCATTTGAGTAGCACAGACTCACTGGAAGAGCAAACAAACCTGAAGAAATTCCATAGACAAATAATATGCCTGCTTTACATTCATTTTTCGTAGTAATCATATGTGGCATTCCAGTTTATGATTATCATGTCGCGAACACTTTCTGCAGTAGCATAGAAGGCCTTGGGAAGTTCAAACTGCTCTAGGGAGAATGACGGGGTGAACTCTGCATGATACTTGATACTTGATGCCACAGATGCAGAATCTGGCAAAAAGGAATCCAAAGAGCCTACCTCTCCTACATCACAATGCCAAATTCACAAACTCTGAGGTGACATCTAACTCCACAGGATTACATTTGATTTGGTTACCATTTCAAATATCTTACTCTCTTAAGAACTATGGCTTCTGAATTCAGCTTTTTTGCATTGCTTAATATTTGACCAACAGGAGTTGGGGGGCCTTGAATGCATTTCCCCAAATCCATAACAAGGGCAGGAATCCAAAGGGATCAAAATTTAGAAACTTTGGTATATGACTCAACACGAAAGCTTATCCTCCAGTCAATTGAGCTTTAATGCACATATTTTATACAAATCAAATTGAGGTTACTTTTTAACACAAAAAAACGACTGAAACTATGAGAGTCAAACATCTGCACTCTCTTCTGTTCTTCGGTTCCCTCAGAATTCAGAATGACACACTAACTTTGCCAGCACAAAATGGCTGCTCATATACTCAGTCATGAAATAACTTATGTTACACTCCTCCTGAGCTGCTTAAGTCTTTAGAGCAGACGGTGTGTTCAACATGGTGCCACAGTTTAGTCCTAATTTCAAATCACACCAGGACTCCTCCCTTGCAACACAAAAAAAAAAAAAAGGTGAATGACCCCCCAAAGAGGGGCCACACGGAAATTATTAGAGAAATACTTATGGTACGATCCGATCTAGCAGCTTAAACTTTTAGAGCAGATGGTGTTCAACACACTTCACCGGTAGCCTAAGCAATGGTCCCTGTGTAAAATATTGAAATATATAGGAATACAATCCCCACACATCAATGCAACCACAGTATACCAATTCCTTGAGTTTGGCAATGTTTGACAAACGATTGTGAAAGAACTCCTTTCGTGGGGTTGACACAAACTCAGAGTTTTGTTTCAAATCGCATTGAGCAATGGAAATTACTTCTCCAAATTGGAAAATTTGAAACTCAAGCCGTATATAACATTTTCACACTAGGGGTTTCATTGTTATTAATCCTGTAATTGAATCACGTAGACATAATGTTAAACTGTACCTTCTTTTTTGGTGGCTAGATCTTCAAGTTGTTGCCGTTGATTGCTTGCGACGTTATTCACAGTAAGCCTTTTACGCGGACGAAATGAAAGTGAGCTTCTGGTGAAGAAAAGCTTCGAATTTCTACTTCTCAAATGGAAGTCGATAATGATCGAAGTGGAATTTGATAGTGAAATTGAGTTTGTTGCAGAGTATGTTGAAGCCGCCATTACTCTCTTTCGCTCTCTAAAACATACTCAGGGCTTACAGTGTATGTGTGAGAGAGAAGGAGAGAGAGAGAGAGAGACAGGAGAGATGGAGAGTGGTTTGTCTTCTTATCTTCGCTTTTCGTGCAGCTAAGCTTCTTCTTAAATTCAGTCATGTTGTCCACGAGCAAAATTTTGATTCGTCGTTTTTCCCACCCTTTCTCTCTCCTCAACATTTCAACCGTAAGGTAAGGCGGAGTTGAAATTACCAAAAACAGCTCGTTTGATATTTTCAAAAAAAGGTTAGGATTGGTCCAATTGCCAACGTTTGCGGTCAAACCTCAAGGACCTGAGAGAGGGTCAACTTTGTCCAGCAAACGAATTCGACGTGATATAATTAATAAATATTTATAATAAATAATTTAAATTAATATTTAACACTTAAAATATAATAAATATATTTTTTAAAAATTTTTTTAATAAGAACACAATATAAATAACGATGACATAACAAAAAAATTACTGGCACCCAAATTACGTGACAAGGCACGAATTGATACAATCTAAGTTTGATTTTGGTGATTCTCTACCATATAATAGGATTTGACTAAGATAACGTTAAAAATATTTTGGTATCATAATTCCAAATTTTACTATTTTAAATAATATTTTTATAATTTTCATGAGTCATTTTATAATTAAAAAATTTTCACTTTTGTGTTTGATATATCATTTTTATGGGTATTTTTACCATATCTGTTAATGTTTTTACCACAATTGTGGTAAATATTTTTATCATTTTTTTTTAAGTATAAAAAAATTTATCACTTTGAAGATTGATTTATCACATTTGTAGATGTTTTCGTTACTATTGTGATAACTATTTTTACTATTTTTTTAGATACCATGATAATAGTGGTAAAAATACGCACAAATGTGATAAAAGTTATCACAAGTGCGAAAAATTTTGAGATGGTACTGAAAAGCTCTATGGATGTATCATAGCCAACTCCCCCTATAATAATGTAATGTTTGACAAAAATAACTAAATTTCTTCTTCTTTTTTTTGGGCATAAGCACAGATAAAATATTAATTACAACGGTGATATCACTTTATATTTTATTATTTAATTAGTGTATTATCACGAAATTACACTTGTAACATAAATTTTGTTTCTAAGTATATGAAAAGTCGTATTAACCACGTCTCGTTTAAACTATAATTATGACTTATAATGTTTAAATTAGGTCATATCAAAGTTTATTCAAATCCTAATCGAATTGTTTATACTCTGTGTTATCGAGTTTATATCGTATCGGTTTATATAATAAATCCTTAATACAAATCACAAGGATGGTCTACATCATTTGGATCCCAATGATTTAGAAATTATCTATTGCTGGAAATAAAAACGAGGATAAAATAGACATTTCCATACTCTCTCTCCTCTTAAATTTTGTTTCCTTCCCCGGTAATATGTTGCGGAGGCCATGGGTGTATTCTAGGGTTAGGGTGTGGGGGACCAGATCATACAAGTGATCTACAATTCAAAGATATTTTTGCAAAAATGAAGCAGCAGTTAGCTCAACTCCATCAATGAGACACCAAGGAAGAATCCACGGTCAGCTGTGGTCAATGGATCATATCAAAATTTTAAGGATTAGATCAAGTGACGTTATATATAGATGAATTGTAAATTTCAATGCTTTGAATTTATATTTTGATAATTTATTGGGATCAGACTATAAAGAATTTATCTGTTATAAATATCTTAATTATAACCTAGATGGTCTGTTTTTAGTCAGACCAGAGATGAAACTAGTAATGGAGTATGTAAGTTGGTCGAAAATTTACTCGAACTTCAGTGACCAATATTCTAATTTAAAAGAGTAATTGACGCAAATCTAAACACCTTATAATAATAAAAATAGATCATATCCGACGTGAAAATAGTTGGATTTGTTAACTTATTTACTGGGTTTTTTAGAAATTAAAATTGGGTTTTTATTTTTGACTCAAACATGGGTAGTTTGGAAAATTTATGAAAAAAAATATGCTAGCATGATCAAAGTTTGACAGTTTGATTTAGTGATAAACTGAGGGTGTCTATGTGATTTAGTGGGAAACTTTGGGGGTTCCATGTGTAATTCTTCCTTTTGAGTTTTGACGCGAGTTCAAAAAGGAACGAACGAACTCCAACGGTCTAAAAATGTCAACAAGCGTCTGTAAGGCCTACACCCCACAACACCTGGTCTTCTGCGGCGCCTCTCATCTCTTTGATTCGTTCAAAACCTAGAGAAACGCCCCAAAAATAATCTCTCGTTCCTTTGTATCTACTGTTCAGATTTCGTTCTTTCTCTCTTCCGCGTGGAAGAGAAGAAGAAGACGAAGAATAAATCGCTGCAATTCCTCTCTCCTTCGCCTCAATCTCGTATTTCTCTACCTGAATCGCCCATTTTCTCCAACATTCAAAGCTTCATACACACACCCTTTTCGTTAATTTTCACCATTTTTATCTTTCTATTCAACTTCTGCAACATATCAAAGCTTCATACACAAACCCGTTTTTGGGTTAATTTTCACGAATATTAGTTTTTCGCAACATTTTTTGAAAATGTTTGGGTTTATGAAATCACCGGCCAGTGTTTCGAAGCAAAAATCTGTAGATTCTGATTCTGAATCGGATAAAACTCAAACTCTAAGGCCTGCAAGAAGAACTTCTTCCGAACCTGTGCTCATTACACCAAACTTCAATGATGACGATGATGATTTGAGAGGGGGCTCTTCTGCTTCCTCATCAAGGGGCGGCTTACAGGACATGTCTGTTCAGGAATTGGAGGGTTATGCTGTGAATAAGGCTGAGGAGACTACAAAATCTGTGAACAATTGTTTGAAGATTGCAGAGGATATAAGACAGGACGCTACAAGAACCCTTGAGGCTTTACATCAGCAGGGTGAGCAAATCCATAGGACCCACATGATGGCCTCTGATATGGACAAGGATTTGAGCAAGGTATGTTCATTTTCTTATGATTCATTGTGTTTTTTAATTAGTGCAAAGGTAAACATTATTTGTTGGGGCTTTGGGAGATTTGAGGATTTACAGAAAAGGTCAAAGAATAGCTAAAGAAGAAGACATCACTGAAATTCCTAGAGAGAAGTTCATACTCATTACTCAAAGATATACATATATTCAGATTATATGGATATTTTCTCAGACAAAAGAATAGAAGCAAATTCCAAACAGATTAACCATTACTTCCAACTGAAACCGTACCACAAACATACAAAGAGAAGGAAAAGAAATCAGATGATCCAAGACAGAAAGAAGTACCGATCTGGCTAATTAGTTAAGGAGATGTAAGGTGCTAAAAAATAGGTTATTTAGTTCTTTTGATGAGAAAGATAAATGACCTGACAATAAGTTTATTAAAACTTGTGGGAAAAAAATGTCAATTCTCAATATGGGTAATTTTTATATGTGTTGTGCTACCTTTGACAGGAAATCGAAACTGTAGTTAGGGATTAGTAGTTAGTACTCTTGAGGCCATTGAATTGTTACTTATCAAACTTGTTGGTTTTTTTTATGGAGTCTAGTTTGTATATGTGATCCGGATGATGACCCGACCCGAAATAATGTTGTGTGGTTTTTAATGGAAAATTTTCTGAGGCTACAGCCCAGTGCGTAGGACATATAAACCCTGTTGTTTTGGTGATTAGGGTTAATCGTGTATGTACAGCCGCTCTCTGTATTCAACTCTCTCAATAGTGAAATCCCTGCAGCTTCGTGGACGTAGGCAAGTTGCCGAACCACGTAAAATCTGTGTCTTGTTCTTTCTTGTTTCTTATTGCTTTATATTCTTGATTTGTTCTTCGATTGTGTGTGTTTGTTAGTGGATTTAAATCGTGAGAAATCCCAACAAAACTTATCAAAGCTGATAGTGCAACTGAATCCCAAGTTCTGCTGCATGGTCATTTTATAATTTAGTAGCAAAGGATTTTGCAGCCTAGAAGGCTGATATTTTGCAGGAGCCACAACATAACAAAGGCGTTGAATTGTTCAATGAGAGTCACCTGATTATAATCCACCCAATTTCCATTTGGTTAGTTCATTATGCTTTGTGCTTAGAAACCTAATTGAACTTTAATTCCACCAATTATGAACAGGTTAACAATGGTTTTTTTGGAGAAATTCTTGTAATTTCCTTGCAAAAGATAATTGCATGTTAATTACGTTGAATTTGCTCATACCTAACATGATTGAATCACTGAGAGTTACTTACCGAAGAAAAAAAAAAGTGACTGAAACCTCCATGAGCATTGCCAGATTTTGAGCCAATGTTGCATTTGCACTACTATCCATTTGTGTGCCTATTCCCTCTGCGGTTTATTTTTATTTTTTCCAAGATTATAAAGGAAAAAAAAGTCTTTCACTCTTCTAGTCATATCCTGCATGCATTCTTTCCTACGTTACTTATCAGTGGCTTTCAGTGTTAATGCGGAACATGGTTCATTATCATATGTTAATGATTTCAGGGGGAAAAGTTATTGAACAATCTTGGGGGAATGTTCTCTAAGCCTTGGAAGCCAAAGAAGACAAGGAAAATTACAGGGCCTTTAATCACAAAAGGTAACTTCCCAACCTCATGGTTCCCTTTTTTTCCCCTTTATCAAATGTTGATGATGTGATATCATGTTATAATGGGGCCTTTTGAACTGGTGATAATTTTCATGTATTATTTGTCTGCTCAAACAGATGATAATTTTAGAGGAACGAAAAACAACTTAGAGGAAAGGCAAAAGTTGGGTTTAGCTCCTGCACCGAAGGGACGGCCAACCTCCCGCACACCTCCTCCTGAACCAACAAATGCTTTACAGAAAGTTGAGGTGTGTGTGTATGTGAGCAGTGATCCTGGAAATAGGTTAAATCAACTTATATCCATGCTTTTATCTTACTCTTCTTGTTTGTAATGGGGGTGATTAAATCCAGGTGGAAAAGGGGAAGCAAGATGATGCACTTTCAGATCTAAGCAATATCTTGGGTGAACTTAAGGGTATGGCTGTTGACATGGGATCTGAACTTAACAGGTCAGTTTTCTTTGCATATATTATTTCCTATTACTTACCTAACTGGAAATTGAAATCCATTTCCAAATTGTTTTGAAACTGAGAGATGAAGCTGTTGCCTTGATTAATTAATCCCTTCAAAGTATATTTGCTTTTTCAATTGGCATGACTCTTAAATCGATAACCCCTTTATGCCATTTTGAGCAAATTAGGAGTGTCATTTGAGTAAAAACTAGTTGGTAGCACATGTGCGTTGCACGTGGACTATTTCAAATTATATTTTTTATTTTTATTTTTAAGTCAAATGGTTGCTTAGTTAAAGAACCATATATAAATGAAACATAAGTAGTCAGCAAAGATTTCAACTGGAAAAATGGATAAATTTTGAGGAAATACATTCCTAATATTCTTCATCTACCAACGCGATCGAGTTAGAACTCAAGCACATAAAATGAAAAAGAAAATTTGTAGTCTAATTTTTGTTTTAAGTGCAATAAATGTTTAAAGCTTCTCAAGATTTTTTATAAATGGCTGCACAACTAAATAAAGGATTCTTCTGTATGGCCTCTGGGCAGATATTGACCTTAGATGCTTGATTATATATTTTGTATTCTCTTTTTTCTTAATCTCAATTTATATTTAGCCAAAAAAAAGTACTTCTCGAGTGTTAATGTTAGTTTCCCTTCCCAACTACTGAACACCCACATTCAACCACGTGAAGACGTAGTCAAATACAATAGGGGACAATGTAAATGAACATTTTGTCATCTGCTTTCTTTCCAATCTCCTTCCTCTATATTTCCTCTTAAAATTCGAAGGTACTTCTTTTCTCCATACAAACATGGTTTGAGTTATGTAGTTCTATGAATAAAAGCAAATGCAAAGCAACTCAACTGCCTTGGATCATACATCTGTCCCTTACACACGTTTGCAAATGTATGCATAACATGGACAACCAAATCCTAAAGTTCTTTCAAGGGTTCCCATCAAAAAGTCATCTAATCAATCGAAAAATATTCACAATCTCCCAATAGTTGAATTATAAAGAAAGGACATCTAAGGTTTCATAAAGTCCAACAAGATGGTGAAGGAAAAAAATATATATTTCTAAACTCATACAAATTAAATATAATTGGAGATATCTCGATAGAATTTACTTCTAAAAATAGTGGGGAGCCTTGAAAGCTTTTGATTCTTTTGTTGTAGTTGTGGGTGGGTGGGGGAGACAGTAGAAATTGGAAGTCATGCATGTCCTCTCCAAATCTGCTATTCTTTGGAGCAAAATTATTTGGGTTTGAAAAGAAAATTGTATGCATAACATACATTCCCCAAACCCCAATTTTTTCTAACTTAGTACAAGCCACGATGGCTAGCCATTGAGTTTGACGCAATAGTCGGCGCAAGTCTAGACACCCTGTAGCAAAAAAAAAACCCTATATTTAAAGTACAAACCAAATAGCCATAAATCTTCCAAGATCAAGCAAAAACAGTACCATAGCGTTACAAAAATTCAAAACAAAACTAAATGCCATAAAACTCCAACAAACCAGTGGGTAGAAAGTTCAATTGAACAAATAGGCATTTCCCACCCTTGGGGCTTGCGTTGATTTGGCAATTGGTCAATGGATGAGTGGGGCCGAATTGTTGGTCCCACTCGAATTTCTTGTTTGGCTTGCCTGGAGAGAGAAAAAAAATAGGGTTTATAATTGACATTAATTGATTGTATTTTCTAATTTTCTAAAAATGGAGAATAGTATTGCTAGAAACTTGCAACAAAGTCTTTTGAGAAAAGAAAACAAACTGAAGAGGGTTGGTCATTACAAATGCATTTATGACCTTAAGAATTGGTTAATTTCGAATCATTACACTCCTTTACGCCACTGAGTAATGTTCACTTTAGGTAATATGTTCTTACTATAGGGTTCTCCCCTATGTGGCCCAGGGTCATCAAACGTGCCAAGGAAGCTATATTTCGATTTATTTATGTAGTAGTAGATGACACTAAATTTATAGCGGAAGATGCATGATTCAAACAAACCGTTCATTTGACTTGTCGAGCAAAGCATTGGCAACAAGTCTTCTCTCGGCATTGCAGTTGCTCATCTCCCTCCTCCCCCCCCCCCCCCCCTCCCCTCCAATTCTAACACCTGTAGAAGAAAAAAAAATAATTAAAATTCTGAACAAAATGAATAGTATGTTTTCAAAACGGCTACAGATAATGTATATGATGTTCTTTAAAAACTTTAATTTTTCTGAAAACTTCTCTCAAAATGGTGTATGGTGCATTGAATGGTGGATGAAGTCAAAGCAACTATGTTTTGAAGAAGATGGGAAATTGGGAGGAAGAGCAATTGTCACAAAACATATTCCATTCACAGTATTGCCTTCCTCAATTTTGATTGCACTGAGAGTGTCTATTATTTAATTCATTATATTTATATATTCAGTGCACGTAATGATCAAATTGAATTTTTCCAATTAAACCGATGTCTATAATAAGTCACAGAATATCAGAAGTTTGCACAATTAACTTATATTCAACCAATGTTTAGTGATACGATACAACTTGAACTTATAGTTTTTTTTTTTATCCAACTTAAACTTATAGTTTGAAATATGAAAAGTCATGCAAATTAAAAAAGATTTTATTGTATATGGACATTTAGAAGAAGATGTAGGACATAATAGGAAATTAAATGTGTTTGCATTAAGTTTACAATTAATATCAGAAGTTTGCATAATGTGAAAACCATATATCAGAAGGTTCAGCCTTTGCGTCGGACAAAAGCCACTGTCAAATGCATTGAATGGGCATCATTTTCTTGGTCTTAAATCTAAATTTCTTAACAACATGAGGGAATTATATCACATTTAACACCTCGTCACTTTAGTGTTGGTTGGAACAACTTATGATTTGATAATCCCAAAGTCTGCACTGTGATAGGAACCCTACTACAAGCATTATAATTATGATTATCCAGTTAAATTTGGTTTTCTTTTAAAAAAAATGCTTTTATTGTCCCTATTGAAAGGTTTATATTCACCTTGTTTTGCAAGTAAATTACAATGTGCGTTTGTTTAATTTTATGCTGGAGAGAAACAGGAAGTCTATGATTTTTCATTCTCAGCAAGTCTGCCTTTTCTTCTTTAGTTTTGCCATCTGTTCTTCTTGTACATGTTGTCTTAAGTAAAATTGTGGAAATGCAGCCAAAAGGAAGCTCTTGATCATCTTCAAGACGATGTTGACGAGCTAAATTCGCGAGTGAAAGGTGCCACTCAACGTACACGTCGTTTGATTGGGAAGTGAGAGAGAGACCTTGGTTCAAGCATCACCTCGTTGAATAACTTTCCATCCATTTATCTTCCGTCTCGGGTTTTTTACTTATTATATACTTGTCTCGGGTTTTTTACTTATTAATACTTCACTTTTGATACCAGTTGCTGGACGCTTTGCTGCTCACCCTTGCCCTCCCCATTCCCATCCCAGGGTTGGGGGTTTGTGTTTTGCAATACCATTTTTTCAACACAATTGTTTCACATCAATGACAGAATAATGTTATCCTCGTTATATAATGTTAGATTTCTCTAAATATATCTCTCTTTTATGAGTTTGTGCACGGGTGATGTGCAAAACACAAATTTATTTGTTCATTGAATATACTAATTTATTATACATGGATTCTATATAGAATATTTTGAAAACCTTTGATATTATACAGTGAGAAGAGCGTTGAAAGTGAAAGAACTGAGAATGGGGGCATATATTAGGGCATGAGTGGCGGAGATAAGGGTTTTAATCGAGTCGACATGAGTGGCGGAGGTAAGGGTTTTAATCGAGTCGAGTTTTGTGAATTTGAATCCGAGCTAAGTGAGTTTGTTTTTCTAGCAAACTTAAAAAATTGTTCAAACTTGACTTATTTAGAACTTTAACCGCACCGCAAAAGTCAGACAACAAAACTATAATAAATTAGAGACCTCAACTTAACTGAAAAAAAAAAAAATTAGAGACCACAAAACCAAATATTAAGCAAATACCGAAACAAAATAATGCTATTCAATCTTTTTCAACTCCAATGGCATAGAGGTTGCATTCATTTTTTTCATGGAAAGGTGACGTTCACAACTATAAACCCATATTGAATGGGTAAAAAAAAGAAAGATAATAAATCGAGTAATGCCAACACTTGTAATGATTTTTTTTTTTTATGGCCAATAAAGTCAAATGATTATCTACCCAAAAAAAAAAGGAAAGGCCCAATATTTTTTTACCTTTTTGAAAAGATTGATAAAAGCAAATTGTACATTGAGTTTAGAAATTGGAGCTAACAATATAATGTATAGCATGCACATTACATACTAAATTTTTTTAAGGTAAAATAGACCAAATTACTCTTCAAAAAATCAAATACTCTAAGCAAGAATCAAATCCAACATAAACCCATCATTTTGTTGATTATAGAACACCAATATCAAAAGCCAAGCAAGATTGTTCACAGGAATTAGCAACTGATGTTTTTCTATGCGTATGATCTATTACATGAATTTCATAAATATTGAATTTATGAAATTGAATATTAATTTTATGAAACTAAAGGTTAAATTGATGTTAATTTAATGAAACTGAATGTTAATTTGAGAAAATAAAATATTAATTTAGTAAAATTGAAAGACAATTCCTTTTTTTTTTCATTTAAATAGAATCTTAATTTGGTAAAATGTAGTGTTTGATTTGATAAAATTAAATATTTATTTGGGTTAATTATACTGAAAGTCCCAAAATATGAGGTTTGTCTCATTTTGGTCTTTAATATTTTAATTACATCATTTTAGTCTCTGAAATATTGAATATGTTTTTATATGGTCCCTCAAGCAAGCAACATCCAGATTACTAATATTTTTTAATTATAAATTTGTCACGTAAAACTTAATTATGGACAAAAAAATAATTTAAATAATTCTTGACTAAATTTTTACTCATATTTTTGTTAAATAGCTACTCAAATTACACAATTTTGATCATGAGCTATTCAAATTTTGGTCAAGAACTACTCATATTACACATTTTTTGTCTAGAACTACCCTAATTTGTTTAAGAGTTATCAAAATTATTTTTTATCTATATTTTAGGTATTACGCGACAAGTTTATTATAAAAAAAAATATTAGTAATCTAGATATTTTTTACTTGAGGGACCATATAGAAATATATTCGATATTTTAAGGACCATAATGAGACAAATCTTATACTTCGGAAACTTCCAGAACAATTAACTCTATTTATTTGAGTAGATTAAATGTCAATTTGATAAATTCCTATTCTACCGGGCCTTTAGTTAAAGGCCGAAAATGGCCCATTTTTATCAGCCAGCGTTCACCCATCCTATAAAAATCGCTCCATATGCCTCCAAGTCCCAACGGCTAAAAACAACCGCCTTTCTGTCTTTTTGAACTTCTCTCTCTCTCTCTCTCAAACAGGAGCTCACACACGCTGCAACCACCGAAACCGCCGAGGTACCACTTACCATTCCTCCGATTAAAGCCACCGTCGCCATCACTACCAAGCCCATAACCACCGCGGCCACTTCTGATCACCACCCCTTGGCTTGTCGGCGGGGCTCCGTTGGGCCAGTGACATCGATGGCCTTGGTCTTTTCACCGTCATGAATAACCAGTTCTACCTCTTCGCCTTCATATAGAGTTCGAAGGCCATCTGATTTGATCTCCGATTGGAGGATGAAGAGATCTTCGCCTTCTTCGTATGTTCTGATGAACCCATAGAGCTTCTGGTCGTTAAAGCGGACCACCTTGCCCAATGATTTAGGGTTTTCCTCCTCGAAAGAAACTGTTCTGCTGCCATTGCCAGAGATGTTCTGCTCGCTCGGCTTTCTTTATCTATTGCTTTCTCTAATGGTCCTAACTTGTTTGAAAGGTGAATGGATTGAAGATCTCTAAAATCTTCTGTTATCTGTTGTTCCTTTTTTTAGGGTTATTAATTGATCTTTTCCTATTAAATTGGATTCTTAGGGTTTCGTTTTTGTGTTCAGTCGCTTTTAGTGCTTAAATATTTCTATTTTCTTGAAAATAAGAATTAGTTAAAGTGCTGGTTTCTTATGCTTAGCCCTTTCTTGCGGTGTCAACTTATTTATTTTGTTTCTTGAATTTATTTTTGCTGATAATTTTGTTTTTTTGAATTTCTTTTTGCTAATTGTTGTGTTCCTCAATTTCTTTTCACTTGATTATTTTGTTTCTTCAATTTCTTGTTGCTAATTATTTTGTTTCTTGAAATTAGTTTGTGTTTCTTGAATTTCTTTTTGCGAGATTTGTGTCTACATATTTTGTGACTTTCAAACACAATGAATAAACGAAAGCTAACGGCTAACTAATACATAGAGAGAGAGAGAGAGAGAGAGAGAGAGCAATGGTGGGCCTACTGAACGATTGCTTGGTGAACCCAGTCGGAGCAGTACAATTGATGTTGGAGAAGGCGGTGGCCTCAGGCAAAGATCCGGCTGGCAAAGATTGGGCCACCATTGATCTCTTTCGCGAGTTCCTTTTTGACAATGGCAGTCTTTCTCAGGTACAATTTCTTTCTCTGTCTCTCTCCTCCGCATGCCTCAATTAGTTTAATTTTAATGTTTATGTTTATCGATTTGCTTGAATAGTATATACTGAGATTTTGTAAAACCCTAGGGCTTATATTTGATGTTGATAATCAAAAGATTTGTTCTTTTTGTTTGATCTGATTCATTGATGCTGTATTAGTTATTCATGTTGGTTGGAGTATTATCAGAACAGGGAAAAGAAGGAAGATTTATTATGATCAGACCACCCAAAAAACAAAAAAAACAAAGATTGCATCAATGTCGATAGTATTAGACTCAATAAATTGCATCGTAAATGGTGCTAGTTTGTTGGTTTTGCTCACCAAGCCTTAATTATGTGCGACATATTCTTTTGTGCAGTTAGAAATTGTTTTATTGCTTTAGAATGCCGCATTTTTTTAATACTATTGTTAATGGGTTGTATTTTGTTTTCTGTGATGAGTTAGGTTCCATTGCTTAATCCTAGGACTATTAAAATGGGTTCAATCCAACACTCTGGTTCAATTCCGTGGAATGATACAAGATATGCTGGGTAATGAATTCTACCTTGGTGCTTATAAGGTATTCTTTTTCTCATCTCTCTCAATGAATTATCGCATTCTTTCTACAATTAAGTTTTGAGCCATTGAAATTGTGTGCCCTTTTGCCCTTTTGTTTTAAAGGATGGAGCAGCATGGAGAATCAACAAGTTTGTAGATGTTCCCCAATTTCTCATGGGTTCTTCATCTGATATGCGGATTTGGGAGCGGCATTTGCTTTATTGTGTTCCTGTGAGTCCTTAAACTAAAACTTTCCTTTCTCCTCTATTTTTTCCCGTTACCTCTTGTTCATCGTAGGCTTATAAAAAGGTTGTTTCTGTTGATTTGAGCATTGATGTTTTCAAGTTGTTAGCATTTCTGATACTTGGCTATTGACATGTTTTAAGAACTACAAATGGGTCTTTCCAAGTAATTGATTTTGTCAGTTAATTGTCACTAATGAGGAAAGCTTCTGCACAGGTTGATGCTGGCATTGTATCATTTTATTAATTGGCTCTCTGTGTTTTTAGGTTCCGGGGCAGAATTCATGGACTCAAACTTCTTTTGAAGCTATGAGAAATCCATATTCCAATATATTGTATCTCCATATGGAGTGAAGCACCTGAGAGAGGACTTCACAGCTACCCGTGACGTAGATATGCCGCCATGCCGGTACTTTCAATCTTTTCGCTTCATTATATTCATGCATTCATTTTTCATTTAACTAAACTGCTCAAGAATCCTCATTTAGGTATATGGGTTGAGAAGCCCTCAGACTACTTGTTATGTGAACTTTGCATCCACGCACAGGCCAGGGCTATACTGCTTTCCCATGTGCAAGATCTTTTAGGTTTAGACAGTACCTTAATTGCTTATATACGCATGCACTCGTGTGGGCTTTTGCGATCTTTAGTTAGAGTTGCAAATTCTCTGAAATATTGTGATTTAATGGCAGGTCTTAGATCACGAGTTTGAGGGTTCCCAATGCAAGAAAAAGATGGTAAGCAGAGATAATTTAATTGACTGTGTTTTCTCTTTCTTTCATTTCTATTCTTGCACCCCTCTCCATTGCTTGTGCACTCCAGAGTTTTTGGGGCAGGGGGAGGCTGAGTGGATTACTTAATATTCTAGTACTTATATTCAAGTAGTCTTGTTCAAACCAAAAGGTAGGATAAGTTCGTTAACATTTGTAAGTGGCAGTCATATCGTAATCATAAATAGTATCTTATCATGGGAAGAGATGTTTTTTATTTAGTCTGATAGGTTTTTCAGGATGAAAAGTGCAGCCTTGTTAATTAGCTGGTTTAGGTTAACTGAATTTTAGCTGCAATGAACCACAAAATTTCCTTGGTTGTGAATTTCAAAGAGTAAGGGTGGCATTGTACATTAAAAAATATAATTCTTGTAGAGTGCCCCTCATGCCATTGTCATTGTTGTATTCAACCCTATTTCTTTGAAAGCCTGTTTTGTGACTCAAAAGTTGAATGTTCTAATCTTAAAATAAGCTGCATTTTTCCATTTGCTTCTTCTGAAACCATATGCACAGAATCATATTTCATAGTGAAGTGATATGTACATCTGAAGGGTCAAATAGGATTTTGTCCGAGAGTGTTTCACTTCTATAGGAAACCTTCCCTGGAATGTTAGCACTGGTTTTAGTTTGACATATGCATCCTATACATGACTGAATTTTTCTTCCGTCCCAATTTTGTCAGTTTAAGCGAGGGGATAGAGTCCCTTCCCAGTTTACTTATCCATGGGAGTCTGTAACTGAGAGAACTTGTTCTAATGTGCATATGGTGCCTGATTTTGAGAGAAATTCTTTTCCGTGTCTAGTGAAGGTGAGTATGATCTTTTTATTTCGTTTTAGGTTGGAATTCGTAATTATGCTCTCCTAACTCCTACGTCCTAAGATTGGTTTCCCTTTTTCTCATGAAATTTTGATTGTGCAGATATATGAATGACTCTATAGAGTCTGAATTGAAGCTGAATGATGTTTTTGAGATTATTGGCGTTCTTATTTTTGATCTAGAGATTACAACAAACAAAGATGATTCTGATGAGTCACTGAATGGTTTTTCTGAAGATGCATTGGTTCATCTGCCTCGTAGAAAGGTTGTTTTACTTATTCCTTGGATATATAGGAATACCATTTTTTTATGTTGTCTGGATTCAATAAAAATCCAAAACGACAGTCCTTAGGAATGTTGAAATGCAACCAACACATAATGTACATTAAAGATAACACGACTTGATTGAATAATCCAGTTATCAACCTCGGCCTCACGTTTTTACTTCATCTTTTTAGTTATTGTATACACTACAAGATGAAATCTTTTAGTGGAACTTTACCGACATATGACTGATAGTTCTTTATTTATTTGTATGCTTATTCCCTTGGTTTCTGCTTCCAGTTGACACTTATCTTAAGCGTTGAATTTGTGATTCTGCAGCCAAAGACTCATTTGGTGAGAGGGATAAGGGAAGGACTGCTGAGACATCTTACAGATGTCCTTGGAAGTAACGCAGTAGCAGCTCAATTCGTGTTATTGCATCTCTTGTCTAGGGTATACCAATAGGTCTTACAATCATGGTTTTAATTTAATATCACGCGTGATAACATCCATACTATCATATTCATATCTCAGCATGCAATTTCTTATCTAAAGCATCTGATTTCAAACTTCCCAGGGGGCTCAAAATTTTTCATCCTCAGGCATATTTTCGGCACACTTGTGGGCATAAATAACAAGTTTTATTATTGCAGGTGCATGTTAGGGTAGACACACACTGGCTGTGGGGAAGTTTTTGTTGAATCTTCTTCTAGCAACGAAATTGTGTCTGTGTTTAGGAATAGACTCAACCTTGCAATCAAGAACCATGTACCTTCACACAATGTATAGTGGATTATCTCAACTCTGTTACACTTGCCCCAAGAAAGGATTATGAAGAAACAAACTGGTAATTAGAATATTAAACAGGAAATTTCATTTTTTAATATTAATGATGTATTTTCTTAATAATTGTGATGATGGTTTAAAGTTTTCACTTCTAGAAGAAAACTTGATTTAATTGTTGTATTTTAGATGAACCTTTAAATTTACAAGTTATGAAAAAAAGATACACACAAACTAATACACCAAAACACACACACGCACATAAACTAATATAACAAAAATACAAACATACTAATATACCAAAACAACCTTGCACACTAAGACACTAAACTACACATGCAAGATACACACAAACTAATACACCAAAACACACACACGCACATAAACTAATATAACAAAAATACAAACATACTAATATACCAAAGCAACCTTACACACTAAGACACTAAACTACGCATGCAATGCTTACTTACATTGTTAACATACACACACTAATACATCAAAGGATACATACACACACGTACACATACTAATACATAAAAAAATAAACACACTAATATACAAAAACACATACAATGTTAGTACACACACTTGCACAACAAAGCATAAGTGCTTTGCGCATCTCTGACACGTCCCAGCATACGTAAATATGCAATATGTGAATGTTATTTCTATTAGTGATCCATCCCATAATATTTAATAAACTCTTTTAATTTTGTATAATGATTAGTTTGTGTGTATATTTTTTGTTTTGGTGTGCCTGTGTTTCTTTGGTGTATCAGTGTATGGGGTGTGTTTTGTGGTATTAGTGTGTGTGAACAGAGTGTGTTTTTTGTTTTGTGTATGTGTTAATTGTGTTTCTATAATCGTGTATTTTATTGTGTTTATTTGTTTGTTGTATTAGTTTGTGTGTGTGTGCATTTTGGTGTGTTAATGTGTGTACATTTGTGTTTTTATAATTGTTGAGTGTTTTAGTAAATTTGTGTCTATGTTTTTGGTGGATTATTGTTTGTATTTTGGTGTATTTGCTAGTGTTACTACATGTGATAGAGTGTATGTATTTTGGTGAATTAATTTATGTGTTTGTATGCGTTTAGGTGTATTAATGTGTTTATTTTGTGGTATATTAGTGTGTATTAATAGAGTATGTGAGAGGGTGTATTAGTATGTGTGTAATAGTGTGTTTTGGTGTGTTGGTGTTTTTGCTTTTTTGATATATTATGCGTGTTTTTTGGTGTATTATTTTTTGTGGTGGGTGTATTTTTTTTTCATGTGTGTTTGTGTAATAATTTATTTTGTGTGCATATGTTCTTGGTGTGTTAGTATGCATGTTGCTAACACAATGTGTTTTGGTATATTTGTTTGTGTTTTGGTGTATTCGTTTGTGTTTTACGTGTACTATACCTCTGTTTTCGTGTAATACCGTTGTGTATATGTGTTTTTGTGTATTAGTAATTGAAATAGGAAAGACTAATCTACTACTACAATGTTGTCATACTTGCTTACAATATTTTATTTTTTAAATGTTTGTGCTATGACTCGGTGTGTAATATTATTTATTGAGTGTTGTAGTACCTTAAAACGATGGCGAAAAAATTAACCTATTGAAATTTGAGAGGCTGATAAAACAACAATCCAAGTATTTACAGATTTACTATTAGGTGAGTTTGTAACGGTTGTAGATTTTTTCTTGAGCATTATATGCTATTGCTATGACTCAATGTGTGCTATTGTTTATTTTGTTTAGAACCTTCAGATGGTGGTGAGAAGACCCTGGACAGCTTGTGATAGGTGTAGAAATTTTTTTGAGTATTGTGTAGTATTGATTATGTTAGCGTTTTTTCTTTTCTTCTCTTCTTGTAAAATTCATCTTAATTATTGTCTTCAATCTCAATCCTTTGCCTAAGATTTCTTGCAGACAATAATGTTAAAGGTTGAAGACCCTACACTATGTTGCTCTGCATACGAATAAATGATGATGATTTTTGTCAATGGTAATCTAGGTTCAGGTGATATAACTGTACACCTACTTTTGAAAAGCATATAGGTTGATTTCTTGCATGTCCACATGGTTATTCCTTTTGGATATCTTTTAGTAGATGTTCTAACTTTGCCTAAGATTTCTTGCAGACAATAATGTTGAAGGTTGAAGACCTTACACCATGTTGCTCTGGATACGAATAAATGATGATGATTTTTGTCAATGGTAATCCAGGTTCAGGTGACACAACTGTACACTTACTTTTGAAAAACATATAGGTTGATTTCTTGCATGTCCACGTGGCTATTCCTTTTGGATATCTTTTAGTAGATGTTTTAACTTTTATTTTTAAATATTAAAGATGTATTTTCTTAATAATTGTGGTGGTAATTTAAAGTTTTCACTACTACTAAAAAACTTGATTTAATTTACAAGTTATGAAAAAAGGATACACACGCCAACTAATACACCAAAACACACACGCACACAAATTAATATACAAAAAACACACATATTAATATACGAAAACATGCATACACACTAAGACACTAAATCACAAATGCAATGCTTACAAACTTTGTGAGTATATCACACACTAATACATAAAAGCACATGTAATGTTAGTACACACATTCAACAAAGACTAAGCGTTCTGTGCATTTCTGACACGTCCTAGCGAATCTAAATGTGTAATATGTGAGTGTTACTTCTATTAGTGATCCATCCCGTAAAATTTTATAAACTCTCTTAATTTTGTAGGATGTTTAATTTGTGTGTGTATTCTGTGTATTAGTGTGCCTATGTTTCTTTGGTCTATCAATGTATGGGCGTGTTTTTGTGATATTAGTGTTTGTGAACACAAAGCATTTTTTTTTTGTGTACGTGTTAGTTTGTGTTTCTATTATAGTGTGTTTTATTGTGTTTATTTGTTTGTTGCATTAGTGTGTGTGTGCGCAAGCATATGTTGATTAGTGTATGTGCGTTTTGGTGTCTTAATGTGTGTGCATTTGTGTATTTGTAATAGTTGACTATTTTAGTATATTAGTGTATGTGTTTTTAGTGGATTAGTGTTTGCATTTTGCTGGATTTGTCTATGTTACTACATGTACTAGAGTGTTTGTATTTTTGTGAGTTAATGTGTGTTTGTATATGTTTAGGTGTATTAATGTGTTTATATTGTGGTGTAGTAGTGTGTATTAACATAGTATGTGGGAGGGTGTATTAATGTGTGTGTTGTGTCTGTGTAATAGTGTGTTTTTGTGTGTTGGTGCCTATATTTTTTTGATGAATTATATGTGTTTTTTTGTGTATTAGTGTTTGTAGTGGGTGTATTTTTTTCATGTGTGCTTATGTATGTGTGTTTAATAATTTGTTTTTGTGTGTGCATGTTCTTGGTGTGTTAGTGTGCGTGTGTTGTTAACAGAATATGTTTTGGTGTATTTGTTTGTGTTTTGGTTTGTTTGTTTTTTTGTGAACTAGTATCTATGTTTTTGTGTAATAGCATTGTGTAAATGTGTTTTTGTGTACTAGTAGTTGTTATACGAAAGACTAACCCTACTAGTACTCTTCTGCCATATTTGCTTGCTTACAGTATTTTATTTTTAAAATATTAGTGATATCACTCGATATATAATATTACCAATTGAGTATTCTAGTACTTTAAAATGATGGCGGAAAGACCAATATGTTGAAATTTGGGAGGCTCATACAACAACAATCCAAGCATTTACAGATTTACCATTAGGTGAGTTTGTAACGGTTTTAAATTTTTACTTGAGTATTATATGCTATTACTATGACTCAATGTGTGCTATTGCTTATTTTGTGTAGGACCTTAAGATGGTGGAGGGAAGACCCACCCAATAAAATTTGAGAGGCTCGTAAAGTAGCAATCCAAGCACGAGCTTGTGACAAATGTAGAATTTTCTTTGAGTATTGTGTGATATTGATTTTGTTAGCGTTTCATTCTTAATTATTGTTTTGATTTTTTAATCTTTTGCTTAAGATTTCTTGCAGACACTAATGTTGAAGTTTGAAGATTTTACACCATGTTGCTTAGGATACGAATGAATGATGGTGATTTTTGTTAATGGTAATCCAAGTTCAGGTGGCATAACTGTATACCTACTTTTGAAGAGCATACAGGTTGGTTTGTTGCATGTCCACATGACTATTTCTTTTGGATATCTTTGGGTAAATTTTTTAATATTCATTTTTAAATATTAATGATGTATTTTCTTAATAATTATGGTGGTGGTTTAATGTTTTCACTACTAGTAGAAAATTTGATTTAATTGTTGTATTCTAGATGAACCTTTAAATTT